ATATTTAATATCAGGAAGAGACACTTGAGGTCTCTGGGGCCTATAATGAGGGATTCGAAATTTTGATACTCACGGGACATATGAGAGGCAGAGGAAACTATCGCATAACGCACTTAATAAGCTTGAAAAAATTGAGGGCTTTGGAGAAATAAGAGAAACACAAAGTTTATTAAGAGCTACATGAGAGGAAGTTGAGGACTGGGTAGCCGTAGCTGCCCAGTCCTCATTGGCCTGTCTTGGTAGAGTTCAAAAGCATCTATGTAGTCTTGTGAGTGATGAATTATTTTCCACAATACAACCCCTTTCCCATCGACGAAACGTTGCGGGCCTCTTACTGTTCTATCGCTATTTTCATGACGTGTTCTGGCGAGCTACATGCCATAGTCTCACCAGCCGCTGCGACCAACCAACACAAGAATCAATCATTCGTATTGCAATGGTAACGAGTAAGTTCCACGTGTAGAGCTTCTTCCCATGAAGTGTTGCTTTGTGGAACAGACTGCCGGTAGGATGTTTTGTCAGTTGCTACAATCTGGACCTCTTTAAGTTTGGGGTTGACATTTATCTTTCCTGCATAATAGCATGAACTACATTTCTTGCCCTTTGTTACGCTCAAAAAATACCACACAGTTACCTTCTACCTTGAATGACTCTTGAGTCTTATAACATTAGTATACATAAAAACATATTGAAGCGGTGGAAAACAGTGTGTAAACTACTTAAGTAGTTTAAGTGAACTAATGGCAGAACTAGAAAAAAACGATATGACTGAAGCAATAAAGACAGGAAGATGTGAAGAGCCATGATTGCCACCGTACTGGAAGGACATGGCATATAAAACAATTAATTCATTATTTGTAAAGGTCTCCACTTTAAGTCACGGACAGCGTTGGATATGACTATTAAAAGGCTTTTATCTGCTTCCGTGACAATAGAGTATTATATCATCCATATACTCATAATTTTTAGTTTCTACTTCCACCACTTACGTAAATATCACCTACCTTATTCGTTGACCTTCTGGTTCGAGTGGCTCTTATGCCCTGTATCGATTAAAATTTAGTATAAATAATACACAGACATTTTAATGCAAAGAACACAAGAGAAGCGGAATCGTTTGGACACATTAACAGTCTTTTCACTTATCAAGCCATTCTTCTGAAGTATGTCTATGAAGGTCGTTGGTAATGAAGAGTTCTTTGAGGCCAAATGGAAAAAATGCAGATATTTTTTTTTGGTTTATATTAACGATGTGGCTGAGAAAAGTCTCAGAATCATTAGTAAATAGGTTTATGGGCAAAAACACTAAATCTTATCTATCTATATTTCTGAGATTAGGTATTATGTACACTATTTACATTATTCTCATCTTTGTCGCCATGTTTCGGGCGTTGTATATTCCGGCCTTCTTCAGGTGGTTGGAATGTCGAACTGAACCCTTTATTTCGCTCACTGGGGTAGACTGTTCTAGCTCCACGTGTTTAATGGATGTCATTTATCTGTTATCTCCAGTTAATCCCCCCCACCAAGTTCTCCACTGCCTTAACCGGGTATTGAACTCACACACTTTAGGTCCTATCACTATCTAACCAACGCATCTATCCACTATGCCATGTGTCCTTGAGGACATATGGGTATGAATTTATGGATATTATAAACATAATTGCTCAGCCACCATTTTTTTCCAGTGCTCATATTGCAATTTTTGCTGTTATCATTCCATGTTTTTTTACCAGAGCTCAATGTGGATGTATGTGGTTTGTAAAATTCAATATTTTAAAATCGAAGCTAATAAACTTTCATCATCATAGAAAAGACCCAAGATTCTCTTCAGTAATGGTTATTTTTTGTTTAATTATTTCGCCAACAACCAAGTACCCCATTAACACGCGAGGAGATATAGAGTAGTAGAGAATAATAGAAAAATTATTAAGGAGAGAGAATAAATAAAAAAAAAGAATTAAGAAGGCAAAAGATAACGACTGACATTGCATTTAAATTTTTAATGATCAAAATTACCCGAGAGAAAAATGCCGGAACAGCATGCCACAAGTGAGAAGTACGAGAGAAGAAACTATTAGCATAGAACTTACGGTTACGTTTAGCCAATTCCAACAGTAAAACGATGAGACATTGCCGCCAATATGATTCTACGCTTAAATTCATAAAGTGTAAGTACCACAGAGGAAACAGAATAATTACATAGAAGGTATTTATAGAAAAGACACAGGGAAGTTACATTACGGCAGTCGGAAATTGCCTGAAACCAAGATACCAGATGAAAATCAATAATATCGCAGATTCTTTTTAGGATTTTATCAAGAATCTCAAAATAGACAGTAGGTGCACCAGATCTGGCAGGTGTATTTAAAGCAAGGACGATTTATAGACTTATAAATATGTAAGATAGATTCTGGAGAGGAACAACTGTCAAGAATAACACAATGAACCAACATTCTTAGCAGCTGCCATAACAGCTGATTCAATATAATATTTCCATTTCATACCAACGGAAAATGTTAACGAGAAAAGGTGCAAAAAAGAGTCACTCTCCTGAAGAGGGGTCCTTCAAATGAGTGATAGATAGCAGTTTCTTTTTTGAAGGTTTTAAAATGAAAAAAGCCATTCCTTGCCCCAGTTAACAACATATTGTAGGTTGTTTTTTAGATCAGCTGCCAGCTTGACCTTGTCATTTTGATCAGTCTTAATATTAACAGTTGATTCAATATAATCTTTCCGTTTCATGCCAACGGAAAATGTTAGCCCGAGAAGGCGCAAATAGTTACTCTGGTGAAGGTTAGCATCAGCCATGCTGAGAAGAGACAGAAAGGGGTCCTTCAAATGATTAAAAAGGAGATGTTTCTTTTTTGGAGGTGTTAATATTAAAAAAGCCATTCCTTGCCTCGGTTAACAACAGATTGTAGGTCGTTTTTTTTAGATCATCTCCCAGTTTGACGTTGTTGATATTATCAGACTTACTTTTAAGACAGGTGTAAATTGTTGTATCATCAGCATAGACACAAAGTTGACCTTTAAGACCTCCTTACTCGCTCCGTCCAGTATCTTAATGTGGATCTTTATCCGGGAATGTTATTCCGACTCAAGTTCACATTAGACATCAATATATATATATATATATATATATATATATATATATATATATATATATAGGGTGTCCATAAAGTTCGTGTGCCTCTTAAAAAAATTATAATTTTGTTTGTATTTGCGATAGAAATAATTTATAAAAAGTATTAGAAAGAAGTAAATATATATATTTTTAAGGTTTTATTGAAATATTATTTAAGTTTCCACATGTCCTCCATCATTAGCAATACGCTGGAAAAAAGATACATTAAACTTTATAACATTTTTTACAGATTATTTCTATTGCAAATATAAATAAAGTTATACAATTTTTATAGTGCACACAAACTTTATGGACACCCTATATATATATATATATATGTGTGTGTGTGTGTGTGTGTGTGTGTGTGTGTGTGTGTGTGTGTGTGTGGCGTCCTTTGTAAATCAGTAGTGGGTTTTAAATGCCACTTAAGGTTATCGCACAAAATTTCATAACTGAATCAACTAAGCTGTCAGATCTTCAGACGTCGTAACCGACAGGAAAGTCCATTATTATATATATATATATATATATATATATATATATATATATATATATATATATATAGTGATGAAGAACTTGGTAATCCGTATGGGTAACCCCAAGGAGGATGAAATCCTGAGAGCTCAATGTAAATCCAGAGCTAATATTTTGGAAGTGCTATCTGATGATCCAGCGTCCTTTAAAAGGGCTCTGGTGAAATAAATTATTATAATGGTACCTTAAAGTGGTCTGTTTTTCTTTTATTATATATATATATATATATATATATATATATATATATATATATATATATATATGATATTTGTCGCAGAAAATTCTGATAAAATAGTCGATTTCTTCTACTGCTGCAGAAAGAATATGACTGTCTTCCAGGCTCTATCTATATAAGAGTTATATGAGGCAAAAAAAAAGAAATTGTTCATTGGTGCCCTATCTCAAATGCTCCATTCCTTTCCAGCCTTGTGTTCAGAAGCGTTTACGTTAATTCGTGCGGGATTAATTATCCACACTTTATTTTCGTAGTAGATATTCAGACAATATCCCCTCTCCTGTTCCCGCGTTCAGACGTTAACAGCTAGGAACTGGCATAACGAATATACGCAATCAGCATATTCATACTTCATTTGCAGGAAGTTCTTCCCTAGAATTATTACGTTGAAAAACAAACTTCCGAAAGGATTCTGACTCGAATATTGTAACCTCTACAAGTTTAGAGCCAACTATTATATATCCTACCTATCCTCATAATCTTCAAGTTCAACCTCCTCTTTTACGTCCATAAGACCACGTCATATAGCAACCCTTTATTTTGAAGGTCTCTTGGGCCTTGAATTGGGTGAATAATACTACTAAGAAAAGATCGCGGTTTTTGCTTAACACTGAGCCAGATAATCAGGCCCCCAGGAGATAGTGATACGGATATATGGGGAAAAAAGTAGAGGAGACGATACAGAATATCATTAGCGTTTCTACAAAGGAAAATCATTTCGAAGCTCACCATGTTCCATTCGTCAAGGTGATTATTGATGACAATCCACCTGGAGAGACGATATCAGTGTGTGTGACAGCGTCGGAAAGTGCTTGAAAAACATTGAGTATACAGGCCTTATTCAACTGCTGATAACGCAAGATTATGCTCTCTCTTCCAGAAATTATAACTCATGTCTGCTCAGTATCCGAGGTATAAATCGTAGTTGTGGCTCTGTGGGTGTTCAAAACCACTAATGCGCCTGGGCAGACGGCTGTAACAGGGGCTAGGTAGCCACCCTAGCAGATGCATTTATACGGAAACAAGCAGCAGGCCGTTACTGTTACATCATCCACACACATATCATAGATATAAACTTCAGAAAGTTGCATGAATGGAACAAACTTAGATAGATAGATAGATAGATAGATAGATAGATAGATAGATAGATATGAACATACTGAGATAGATATATAAAATAAACTGAGATAGATAGATCGATAGATAGATATGAACATACTGAGATAGATATATAAAATAGACTGAGATAGATAGATAGATAGATAGATAGATAGATAGATAGATAGATAGATAGATAGATAGATAGATATGAACATACTGAGATAGATAAAATAGACTGAGATAGATAGATAGATAGATAGATATGAACATACTGAGATAGATATGAATATACTGAGATAGATATATGAAATAGACTGAAATAGATAGATAGATAGATAGATAGATAGATAGATAGATAGATAGATAGATAGATATGAACATACTGAGATAGATATATAAAATAGACTGAGATAGATTGATAGATAGATAGATAGATAGATATGCAAAGTGTGAGATAGATAGATAGATAGATAGATAGATAGATAGATAGATAGATAGATAGATAGATAGATATGAACATGCTGCGATAAATATATAAAAATTGACTGAGATAGATAGATAGATAGATAGATAGATAGATAGATAGATAGATAGATAGATAGATATGAATATACTGAGATAGATACATAAAAATATTTGTCATATATAATCGCTTATAATAAAGTAGCAGAACAGAAAAATAAGTTATGGTAAATGCTAGAAATTATTTCGACAATCCTCACTCCATGCATTTTGTAGCTGTATGTCGTTTAAGGTACGTCAACATAAGAGAAGAAAAAGTGCGATACGTACAAGCAGGAAGACGCAGTTGCTATTACTCAGACACCGGAAGGAAGACCACTCCCAGGGCATAATTCAAGAGAATCAATTAAGGATAATGAGTAACGTACTGACTGATTTTTTTTTGTAATAACTGACAGGACAAAGATGATGGTAAGGGGCCAAAAGTTACTTACAGCTACAAGATACAGGAAGTTGTGGGGAGCCATGATTACTCACTTCCTGAAAGGAGAGTGCATTGCCCAAAATATATATAGTTATCTCATATCGCAATTGTAGCTCAGCGTTAAAAGACAGAACATACTGCTCCCTGTTGCCTTTGATGACAACTCAATTTAGGGAAAAGAAAACTCTTAATTTAACTCCGCATTTAATAACACATTGTAGAATTCTTCGGAGAGAGAGAAAGTTTAGGAATAAACTGTAGACAGATCCGGAGTTCAGACCCTAAAGTGATTGGAGGACGAACTGCGTCACCTTCCACTCTTGCAACTGCGCCAGTCCCAAACTGTATTGATTTCTCCACTCTCCTCTGGATTCTACAGGCAACGCTGTGAGGGGAATCTTATAAGCGGTCTACAATCTCCATAGCCCCCGTCCAGATCCATAACGCTATGCGCTACACCATCGTTTCCCGAGAGGACACGCTAACGCAGTCCAATGCAAAATGGTATCAAATATGATGATATCAAAGATAATGGGATCTAATTAGACTCGTTAAGCTGTATAATGTGTAATAAAATCAGGGGAAAAGGGATTGTCAGTGGCAATAAAGCTATAATACGATGTGTTATCGGAAATGTGGCTATCTAGGCCTAAAGCTTAATCATTGCTCTGTTCATAATATGGACTCTTCAGCAATTTTATTCATATCTTTTGGCATTTTTCTGGTGATTGGTGTCTCTAAAACTTTATCTTATTGAGTTGAAAAACCTTATTAAATAAACCTGACGAAAACTACAGAGAATAAAATTCGAAAGGTTACGCCCAATATATAACTTCGGCACATTGTTTTAAATAATATTTAAATAATATCTTGGAAGAAAAAGCAACAGAGACGCGTCAACTTTAGAAAAACCTTTGTAATAAACGGTCATGTGGAGGTTACACGAAGTCTGTTAACAGACCTACTCACATGCTGGTTATTTATAGAGATTTTCTAAGCGTTGCTCAGATGTGGCATAAGGACGAAAGTATGGGGCACCCAATGAAGATAGAACCCACTATTCAGTCGTAATAGATTTAGCAAGACAAGCTTGCTAACCGTTACACCACGTCGAGGTGCCCATACTGGCTATCTATATCTACATAAAAAGTATCTCATAGACCTAGCCATTCCATCTGATAAAAATAATCTCAGAAAAACAAGATAAATATTCGAAAACTTCGAATAGAAATTGCAAGAATGTGGAATTTAAAGAACGCAGCTATTTCAATCTTAAGAGAAGCAATAATACAGTATAATATTATAATAATAATAATAATAATAATAATAAATAATAATAATAATAATAATAATAATAATATAGTGCTCACATATTCAGAAAAAAAGAGACTCTTTCGGTGGAATATGATTAATGGTGATGAAAATGGTAAGATTAGCCGTTTCTTTATACTGAAAAATTTGGTATTCATTCACCGACAAGCAAGGGTTAGTCTCGGATAGAATTGGGCACCTCGAAGCTTGTCTCTAGAAAATAACTAGTGAGTAGTGAGTTCGATCCTCACTGGGTGCCCCATACTTTCGGCCTTGTGCCACATCTAAGCTACGATTGGAAAATCAGGGCACCTCGAGGTTGTGTAATGGTTAAGAAGCTTGTCTCGCTAGAAACAATTACGACTGAGTTGTGAGTTCGATCCTCACTGGGTGCCCCATACTTTCGGCCTTGTGCCACACCTGAGCCAAGCTTGGAAAATCGCTACTCTCGGATAGAATATATAAAATGTTTCTCCTAGAATAGTTTTTCGAGAATAGAGATTTCTCAATTCTACTGTTATCGCTTCTTTCTAGTAATGAGTATCTTCCTGTCTAACCATTAATCGTGTGGAAAGTCAACATCTTGACTATGATGTTATTATCTCAACTACTTACATACATTTTATTTGTTCCTGTCGTTGAAAGATTCAAGTGATATGGCTTCCGGTATTTGATACGGCTCTTTGTGATTCTGCAACGCCAATCTACGAGGTTCGATGAAAGATTGTTCTTTAAGACGTACAGGCCACCCTCCCTTGAAGCCATTTTTAACCATAGATCCTAGAATACATGTATCCATCCTCTACAAAGGAGTAAGCGGAAGCCCTACCCGACGAAATAGGTCATCTAACAATTGGCTTATTGCAGACTCGCGTATAACAACTCAGCTTTAATTAAAGACTCTAGTGTATAACTAATATTTGTCTAAAGACTCGTGTATATCCGAGACCAATGTTTTCCTATCGCCTCAAGTATAAACACGACCACTGTTTACTTATAGACTCAAGTTTATGCCCATCTAATATTTATCGATAGACACAGGTTAAAATCCGACAAATCTTGACCTGTAGACCAAAGCTTATGCTCAAACATTTTAAACCGATATCAATCAGTCAGTTATACGTTATGCGTGATACATTAGGCGATCATGTATCTTTCGATACATGACTGACGAGGCAGATTTTTTCCCGCAGCAGGTTGCCATTTCTTTCTGTTGTAGACCAGTTGCCATCCAAGGTTATAGAACACGGTCAGCCCTGCCATTTACCCATAGCTAAGGGGGAGAAAAGGAGGATTCGTATATTTCCCAAGGGTATTAGTACATAGACGATTCCTTAAAAATCTATTCGGTTATAATTTATTTCATGAATATACAAATAATCATCTCTTCCGACCGAAGTTTTTTTTAATAAATGGAATCAATTTATCCAGACGATATTATATTGCTCTGTTACTTACATTGAGCTCTCTTCGGATTAATGTCCTCCTTGGAATTATTCCTAATTCCTTTCCTACCAATTATCAATTGTGATCATATATATATATATATATATATATATATATATATATATATATATATATATATATCATAGAGTAATATTGCAATGCAGTATTTTTCTCCACAAATTATAACAATGATTTAAAATCAGTCATCATTTTCTTAAAAAATGTTCGAATCGCAGCTAGGATAATTTAAATAGTATATATATATATATATATATATATATATATATATATATATATATATATATATATATATATATATCGTCACACATTATGAAATGGACAAAGTCCGATAATTATTTTAAGACATCTTTATGTTTATACATTATTCCTTTTTATAGATACAAATCTTTAAGTAAATGCTCTGTTTATAATAAACAGTATTAAACAACAATTTTTGGCCTGAATGTCCGAGAAATTTTCATAGAAAATATTGGTCCTCTGACAGGACTCAAACCTGTATCCTATACGGAACCGTCATTAAGCTTGGCGTGTCTTCAACCAATTTGGCCACAGAGGAGCGTTCGGTTAGCAAGATCGATTTTACTGTCTTTAAACTACAATCTCCCATGATTCTCTTACGTACATTCATATCTGCTCATGGCGTAAATGTTGTTTAATACTGTTTATTATAAACAGAGCATTTACTTAAATATTTGTATCTATAAAAAAAATGTATAAACATAAAAATGTCTTAAAATGTATATATATATATATATATATATATATATATATATATATATTATCAATGGTAAGATCTACATCGACATCTACATCTTTACCAAATGAGCCAGCCGTCGGTAGCCATATTATAATAGAAAAAAATTAAAGCAAATGTATGGTGTGAATAGCTACGTTTATCGTAATAAGGATGCGGGAAATTGCCGTGTCAGTTTCGTGAGACGCAAAACAGCTTTGTCTATTGCTGAGCTTGTCCAATATAAATACGCCGGATGATTCACTATCCGAACAGATTTTTGCAAATCTTCTGCAAATTGATGGCGCTAAAAAAAAAAAAAAAAAAAAAAAAGAACGAAGAAAATAAAGAACACTACGACAAGAATTAATATCCGGCTGGCCCCGTTACACGATCAAACAACATAACGAGGCTTATTTTGTCTCTTTGTTGCCTCGATGGCTATCAATCACATTTTTTCTGTCGTGACGATTGCAGCCTTTGTGAGAAGCGAAAATAATGGGAGGATCCGAGAGAAGGAAGTCATTTAGGCGAGGAATTATTCAAGGTAATATTTTCATATTTGGTGTTTTCATAAAAAAAATCGTTTACACTGAGGTATTTTTTGGTCCTCATCAGATGTATATTGCATCATGTCATTTTAAAATGTTTTTCACTATATATATATATATATATATATATATATATATATATATATATATATATATATATATATATATTTCCTACCTGCACTTACGCTCAAATTCTTTTGGGAACAGTATAGCTCAATCTCGTCTCTCTATCCCTTGGTCATATAATTTTAATTATCGTTACCCCATATATATATATATATATATATATATATATATATACAAAAATATGGAAAAATCCGGGGCACAGACTTATATTTTCATAAATTTTGAAAGCGGTATTCTCAAGAATTTTCGTTATAAGTAATAAGTAAGTTACTTTATCATTTAATAAGTGTAACATTATTTAGATAAAAAAATGGCGGAATTTATTTAGATTCAATTGATAAATTGTTGTGTATGATCACTTTTCTTTTCGTAGATACTTGTTTAAAAAAATATTTTCTGTAACTTTCGCCAGTGTATTGTGAAGAACAGTTCTAGCAATTTACCTTTATATATATATATATATATATATATATATATATATATATATATATATA